TGGCGGTGTAATTTGGTCGGGTTCACGGCGGGTCAGAAAATTGCAGCTACGATGACATTGAAAGCCTACTGTCCGTTCGGTGTCCTGCGAATAGAAAGAAATGGTCATCAGTGCATTGGAACATGCAGCCACAATACAAAAATCACGACAAAGCAGCGGTCTGAATTCCAGCAACCCTACATCCAAACTGCTACCACCCCGCCCCCTCGACATCAAACCAAAAGGTGCTCAATGTTGTATTGAACTTTTTGGGGCGGCCTCTTCTTATGATTCTGTGTGCGGCCTTCTGCAAATTACCGGTTAGATGTGCTGCCAACAGTCATGGTTTATACAACCTGTTCCGATTGCTAGAAGGAAGACTGGAATGGTAAAAATAGCAGGAACCATCGCGGTTTGTCACAAATGTCGGCAGCAAATGGAATTCAGAACCAACCTTGGCCTCGTGGTTGTGCTGGCACTACGCGACATCGAGCCATCCAAACTTACCAAACAAACCGCTCACACGCCTTGTGTGACAGTAGATATGGACAGTGCCAACACCAAGCGGTCAGCCATGTTTCGTCCGCCTAATCAATTTTTTCGCATCCGACCTCGCCGAATCTTGAAAAGTTGCAATTTGGGCGTTGGGTATTCAACTTCACAAGAACGTGCCTACAACTGCCGACGCCAAGCCCCACAGGGAGCGCCTCCTACATGTCCTGGTGCTTACGGCACATGCTTCTGTTCTGTTGACTGTGGTCATGCTCTGGTTCGAAGCCTACTCTCCTGACCAAATACCTTGCAGCCTGTGCGTCTCCACTTGTTACACCTCCGGCTGGAGGCCCGGCTACCTAAGCCCTACCCGGCCCTACCCGTCTGCGCAAAGCAATCATGCCGAAGGACATCAGACGTATAATGAGTCAGCTGGTGCTCGAGATTCAGCAAGATACAAACATCTCACATATTGTTCGTGTCAAGGACCTCCAGACTGCCCGGCATCCGGACGTTGCATCGACGTGTGTTCGTGTCCCAAACGGTCGCTGTTTTGATTTCAATGCACAACCCATGATGTCATATGTGCTGTTCAGTTGCAGCACATGTGCGCAAGTATTCCTTGGAGGTGACAAGTGCTTGACAAACAGTCTATGTGCAACATGATTCAACATCCCAAGTAGCGCGGAATACGAATTTCGGTTCCAACACTACTGCACCAACAAGCCAGATCAACAGTTTTCTGGAACCCTGCAACCTGATCTTGTCTGTATTGATGGTGCGGCTAACGTTTCGCTTCGCGGGTCCGCGGCAGTTCTGTGGCAATTCTGGGACTCCATCCAGGCGGGCGCACTGCGTGATGATCTTGCATCATGTCGTTAAACTTGACTGAACCTGCCTCTGAAAGTGTGGGCCTTCATTACTGAATGAAAATAACAATTCGAGAACTCGTCGTTAAAGAAGGGGAAAGCAACAAAAGCAATTCTCTCGTACATAAACCCTCAAAAAACAAATGACCCCTCTGATCCCTCCGCTCCAAGCCTTACGTAGCCTGTCGAGTCTCACACCCATCACAATCCAAGCTGCCCAGCCAGGGTTTCAGCGGGCCTGTCCAGTGCAGGATCTTTGCCTGCTGCACTGCGTGATGCTCTACACCCTAAGGTAGAAGCTCAAAAGTTGGAAACCCCATAGCCTCAACCCTTAAGAGTCATGTATGGGGTATAAGGAATCCCAGCACTTTTTGGCCTTAATCCGGTTTCCAACTTTATGGGGTTCACTGTAATCCCTAAGTTCCGAGAGCAGAGCTGCGAATTTATGCGGTTTCTACAGTTCACACCCGGAGATGGCCCATGCTGCCTCGGGGTTAGGGGTTTAGGGATTACGGGTACCCTAAAAAAATCCTCAAGACCCTTACAAAACCTGAAACCCTAACCCCTAATCGCTACATTTGAGGGGTGTCGGGTTTAGGGGTCTGCAAGCGTCTGAGCTTGGTTAATCATGGTGCTTTAGGGTTTAGTGGTGCTGGATAGTCGAGCTTGATAGTTTACCTTGAACCTTAACCCCTGAACCCTAGAGCAATTTGTCAACCGGTGTGATGGTTACTTTGGACCGACGACCTTCCCAGGCTTCGACCCGTTGTCAGAGTTTTGGGTTTGGGGTTTCGGTCCAGGAAGAGCAGCCAAGCTTTCTCCCTCAAGTGGTACCTTGCCTTGACCACAGTTTACGCTTCGGGGCTTGGTGGCCTTCAGAGGCTGCAAACCAGGCATACGTCTCGGCCCTACGAAACCTGAACGGAAACATCCTCCTCAGAGGCCGCTCAGGCCACAAACAAATCCTCCCCAGGCCTAGACTAAAATGGGTAGTTCAGTTCTCTAAAGTAGGGTCCTTTCATGAAACCAAGGCCACCACAGCGTACCTTTCTGCTTCTATAAGGGTGCCGGACGATTTTGGGGACCTAACAAGGGAACCTAACTTACAGAAATAACTACCCAAATCGAGCCCCGACCCTAAAACCCTAAAAGCCTGAAGCCCTAAACCCAAAACCCCAAACCGTGGACCCTAAAGCCTAACAAGGGGATCCTTTCTGGGGATCCATTATAGGGTTCCTTTAAGGGGTTCCTTTAAGGGGTTCCTCTAAGGGGGTTCCTTTAAGCTCCCCGGCCTTGCTTATCAACTCGGAGGACCGATTGCCGTAGTGGCCGAGACCTCGGGCTGACACCACTCCACGGTCTGTGCAAAAAAATCCTTAAAGGTACCTTAAGCCGGAATAACCTACCTTTTTAGGGTCCCTTATTATTATGATTTCCTTATATAAGTCCTTAAAAAGGTAGGTTCTTCCGGCTTACGGTAGGATTTAGGGTTTAGGGTTTTCTACAAGGGCTGATAAAGCTTGTGCGTGCTGCCTGAACCTAGGGCAACCTAAAGACGGAACGACATTACGAATCATTTATGCGCGTTTTTGCCCGTAGTCAGTCTTTCGGAGCCGCGGCGGTTCAGAGGTAGAGCTTTACTAAACTGAGGAGCGGGGGACACGCGCTTTTGGCGGTGACGAAACCTAAAAAATGGTACAGGTTGCTTGGTTAACTTTGGGGATTCTAGCGGGATGCTCTTACTGATTCTTCCAACGCATATACTAGCCTTTTGATAATTTGCTTCTGACTACGGTGGGACTTTGCAAACTTAGACCGGCTGCATAGCTAAGTATCCCCTTGTATCATAGTCCACGTATGATCATACGATACCTGAATACACCCCAATCCTAGATCCTAAACCCTAAACTCCGAAGCCTCAACCCTAAAACCAGAACCCTCGACTGACTACACCCCAAAGCTTCATCCCTAAACCCTATGCAGCCCAAAGCCTCATGATGATTGTGGCGGCCCCTATATGAACATCTCCAGAGCCGCTGCTTTGCTGATTAATGGGCCAAGAGGGTCACGTTTCGGGTTTAGGGCTTTGGGGGTTAGGGTTTAGGGATTTAGTGGTTTAGTGGCTCGGAGCTTTCATGGTTGGGCAGCCCAGGCTTAAAACTCTGCTCCTAGAGATTTCAGGTTCAAGGGCTTCATATAGCTAACCATTAGAATAGGCTTTGGGGACCCACTATGCTATAATTGTAACAAGGAACCCCCAAAATAGTATAAGGTAATTATGTAGGCCCCTGTAGTACCGGCTCCCCAACACTTACCCGGTCAAGGACTTGTACCAACAAATCAGAACAAGGAGCCAAGAGCAGGTAATGTACAGGCCTAAACAACCCGGATACGGTTTTGGGGTATGTATGTTATACAGAAACGTACCTGAAAAGAGAGTTGGTAATCATATGTTCGGCCCCTAAATCAAGCTATTTGGGGTTCGGGTAGGGTCTGACCGGACAGGAAGGCTGTGCCGGGCTCCCCACCGTCCACATTCCAAATGTCAGCTATCCACTCCACGCGGTCGTAGAGCAGAAGAAGCAGAGGAGGCTGGGATCCGTGCCTTGGCGTTAGGTGCGGGTTTGGGGTTTAGATGCGGTTTGGGGAAAGCTGGTGAACAGCACAAGCCCTAGGCCCTAACAGCCAGCCCCGAAGCTACACAGCCCAAGGTGGCGAAATCTTGGGCCACTCAAACTACAAAGCGGACCTCGAGGCTGTGAGGATATGCATCTGAAGCGGAATGCGGTCCCCCGATCGACAAACCCACTCTCAGTCCAGGATCCCTATTGTAATCCTTATGAAGGGGCGGAGGGTCAAGCGTCAGGGGCCGACACGGCGGAGGTGCTCATCACTTGTCGGAGCTGTTCAGGAAGCACGTGCAGTCTATTTGGAGGTCTCTTAGGGGATTAAGACTCAAGGCTCAAGGCTCATGTAAGTATGCATGTAAGGTATACTTAGGGCTTAGATGTCAGAGCCCAGTGAAAGGCATGATGCAACCCTGAGCCCGAAGCCCGTGGAAAAGCTTGTAAACAAGACTTCCATGACGTCGACAAGTCTCAAGCAAAGCTTATCTCTGAAGCTTAAACCCTACTTATCAAGACACATCCCTAAATCCTGATAGTAGCTGTTATAGACCCCTTTGAAGGAACACTAACACTGACTTGGGTTTCGACTTCCGATATGGGAGTTTTCCGAAAATTAGGGACCCGAAGCATGAAAGACATACAATCTGACGGACTTTAGCGCCTGAGCCTTGCGGCGGAAACTTAGGGCCTTCGGGTTTAGGGTTTGGGATTCAGGCCTGAAACCTAAACCCTAAAACCCTACAACAGATGTTCGACTTGAATCACTAGAAGCAATATCCCCTCTTATGTAGTCCTGCTAAAAACGCTAGAACTGATACTCACATAGCCTATAGACGAACCCGTGAGCACTGCGAGGAAAGAACCCGAGCACCCTAAAACCCCTAAACCCTAAACCCCCTAAACCCCAACCCAAAAACCCTAAACCCCAACCCCAAAACCCTGAACCCCCCCCCTTAAGCCCCCCCCCCTCCCAAAAAAAAAAACAACCCTCTAAACCTTCATGAGCCCCAAACGGCTATATACTAGGACCGGCCTCCAAAGATCTCGATTCTTGTTGCGCCGAGCCCAGGTCAGGACTTCCCCAGTCACGTTGAGCTCTGCCTCGCTTTATTGGGCTATACCTTGGGTACGGCCCCCGTACAATAACAGTCCATATTAGGGCTACTATTAAGGTCCTTATATCTTTATATTATGACTAGTATCCAACTGTGACTGAGCAGGGGCAGTGCCCAAGCTATACCCCCTTAGAACCATAATGAAACAGATCTTAAGCTATAGCAGGGATTTCGGGGCTACGATAGAGGCCTTAACACATATTTAGGGCCATGTGAGGTTTAGGGGTTCAGGGTTTAGGGCTTTAAAGTAGGATATTGTCTATTGTAGTGCAATTATAATGATAAGGAATCCTAACAAACAAGGCTGGTAACTGTTCAAGCTTCTAGATTAGAGGGTGTGGGATTTGGGGCTTAGGACCTCGGGGAAGCTCGTCACCTTCGACTTCACCTTCGACTGCCGAAGCAGCGAAATCTGCCATATGGGCCTTATAATAAGGATCCTACTATTAAGGGTGCTATGTCAGGGTCCCCCATTCTTCGGAAACTCCCATATTAATATCAACATGCAGAGAGAGCGCGCCAATCCGTAAACCCGCGCTGAAGGAAGGTCTGACAAGGTCGAGACAGACTGGCAAGATTCCTGCCCCGCAACGAAGCCATGCAGCTGCCGCTGCAGAGCTTGCATGCAGCTGTGCGAGTCGTGTTGAAGATGGCGGAGGACACGAGAAAGTGCCGCCCAGTTCTTGCCAGCGGCCTCGATATCATCTTCCATGGAACATCGCAGCTGTTTGTCGATGATCCAATGAGAGGCGGAGGGGCTTCCGCTTGAAGGCGCCAACAGGAGATCATCACGCAAAGGACTGCCAACCCGCGACTCCCGCACCTGCGCGCAAAGCTAAGTCGCCCAAGAGGCTTCAAAGCCGAATAATCCATCTTGGCCCGTGCAGAACATTATCATCTTCGCAGCTCGAGCTGAACCAGATGGTACAGGCTTCGCAGATTCGCTGGAATGAGAACCTCAGAACCCTTTCTTGCACCCGAGGATGGGGGCTTAGAAGTGGGCAAGGCCTGCGGCCGAAACAGGGGGGCATGCAGGCCAGGAGTGATGTTTGGCTTCAGGTTTAGGGTTTAGGCGCTTAGGCTTTCGGGTTTGGGGGCTTAGGGCTTTTTTGAGGGGATGGTCGGAGGGACTTAGGGCTTAGGGTTTAGGCTCAAGGAAAGACGGGTGCCTCACTACGATTAGACGTGGTACCGGATGCCCAGATGAGCTCTTGAGCTTCAGGCCTTAAACCTTAAACCCCGAACACGAAATCCTAAAGCCTACCAGGACCGTGCTTAGGGCTCTTAGTAGTGGCTGTTTGGGGTATATTACAGGGTAGTTGGGGGGTCTAGCGAAATCTCAAAACCCTGAACCCTCAAAAGGCGGGCTGATGGACTCCCCATGCTGCGAGACCTTCAGGACAAGATCGGGCTGTCTTTTTGAGGAGGCGGACAAGGCCGCGAATCCAGGCCAAGGGCTCTACGGTGAACAGAAAGTTGGAAGTTGGATTTGGCATGACTAGTGCTGGCACTCCCTAACTCTACCTTAATGGCACCGGATACTCGAGGATCTTTAGGGTTTAGGGGTCGAGGGCTTCGGGCCTGGAGGGTTTAGAGTTGAATTTAAGGGTAGTGTTGGCTTGAGGGTTGAAGGGTAGGGGTTTTGTAATTCATTTAAGTTGTATATGTAAAGGTGAAGGAGTTCGGGATTTAGGGTTTAGGGTTCAGGGCGCCGCGTAGGGTTGATGGCAGAGGGTAGTGCACTCCCCTGACAACCCGCAGGCGTGAATCACGCCTCTAGCAATCAAGGTTCAGTGCAGGGAGCTTTTCAAGAATCCAGTTCCTGTGAAAAACAACGGTGACTGTAGGAACGGACTCTTATTGACTTGGGCACTTGTTGTCCGACAGCAGGGCATTCCCTTCCAGGCACCTCTGTTAAACAGATGGTTTGTGGTCATGGGGTCTTACAAGAAGCGCACCACGAAAACCCCCAAACCAACAGTAACAAGACTTAGTTACAACTAAATAATTAGGCAATGAAAACTCAAACAGGAACCAACCACAAAAGTATCAATGCATACATAGACCGGTATGTAGATAACTACATAATTGCCACATGAACTTTTGAATAAAAAAGCCAGTTAGTAATGACTGAATTTTTCCATGAACGAACGAATGCATTAGTGCACGAGTGCCTGAAAACAATACCACGCGCAAACAAGTACACTGTTCACTAAAATCAATGAATGTGTGCAAAGTGCGGCTTAGTAGTAGAATAAGCGTAGAAAGTAAGAATATGTAATACTGGAAACCATAATCAAGCAGAGACAAGAGTCACCAAGAGCCGGGCCCATGCACGCATGTCGATGACCATCACGCCTCTGCAAGGCGAGATTGCTCTCACAAAAATCAGAGATCTTCCGGGGCCGTTGGTGCTGCAGCTGCTTTTGAGGGTTAGGAGTTTCGGGGCTTGAGGCTTGGTCCTTTTCCCTGAGACCGCAAACTCCGGAGGAGGGTAGATGCCTCAAGGTCTCCTGCGCCGCACCCGATGCCGAGGGGAAGCTCTCCATACTCCCAGGAAAGTTCGACACAACCCAAGCTTCGACCCTCGCAAGAACGTGCTGCGAGGCATTAGGGTTTAGGGGATAGGGTTGACGGTCCTTTCTGATCACGGCAACTGCTCGAAAGGGAACCTGGTATGCGGCCATTGCCCATTCGATA